AAGTAGATATTTTTCTGGAACTCTCCGGCTTTCTCCATAATCCAGTGCATGTTAGCAATTTGGTCTCTAATTCTTCTGCCCCTTCAAAATCCAGCTTGTACTTGTGGGCGTTCTTGGTCCACATACTGCTGAAGCCCAATTTGTAGGATTTTGAGCATAACCTTGCTAGCGTGTGAAATGAGTGCCATTGTTCGGTAGTTGGAGCATTCTTTGGCACTGCCCTTCTTTGGGATTGGGATGTAGACTGATCTTTTCCAGTCCTCTGGCCACTGCTGAGTTTTCCATTGATGATGATAAAGAAGCATACTGGTCCTTTGATATTGGGCCGTGGCACCAAGGTGGGTGACATGACCTTTAGCCTGGTTTGTTCCTTTTTGCACACCACACATAGAATGATTAAAGTGGTAGGGAAAGCCGGTAGAGAAAGCCCCCTCCCCAATTCTGCGTTAGCTGTCTCTAGCAAGCATGTCATTCCTAGCACCACTCTGGTAGCTACTGATGATGATTAAATCCTCTGTGAGCTAGCAAAAATTTAATGCAACTTGCTAGGAACGTTGGACACCTTACTACTCCCTATACCACACCATGGCTGGAATGCAATGTGCTCCAGCAAAAATAGTGCACATCTTTATCAAATTTGGTGCATCCTGCTAGTTCGGTACACAACCTGTGTAGACTCAATAATATTTTTAATTCAAATAATGTATGATTTCCTTCCTTTCGAATCAAGGGGATAATGTCGGTGTATATAAATTTTTGTGGGGGTAAAAGGTAAAAAAGTTCCCTGACCCCTGGCTTAAGCTTATCAAGATCTTGAATTTTGTTCTGTCGTCCAAGACATTCACTATTCAACCTAATTTTGTGTCATCAACAAAGTTGATAACTATTCCCTGCACACCCTCCTCAAAGTCATTAATACAAATCTTGAAGATCACTGAGCGCCGGACTGAGCCTTGTGGTACTCCTCTTGTTACCTCTTCCCAGTTTGAGAAGAAGCCATTGATAAGCACTCTTTCAGTATGATTCTGTAACTAACTGTGTATCCACCTGAGAGTTATATCCAGACCACACCTAGTTAGTTTTCTAATCAGAATATTATGGGGCACTTTGCTAAAGACAAGATACGTTAAGTCTACAGCATTCCCAAATGAGAGCAGATTAGTCTGGTGAGATATGTTTTTGACAAATCCATGTTGGCTTTTAGTTACTACTGCATTGTTTCAAGTTGCTTTCAGACTGACTGCTTTATAATTTGCTCCAGTATTTTCCCTGGGATTTATGTCAGGCGGACTAGTCTATAGTTCCCTGGTCCCTCTTTTGTGCCCTCTTTCAAAGACAGAGACAATGTTAGCCCTCCTCCAACCATCTGGCACTTCACCCATTCTCCATGATTTCAAGAAAATAATAAGCAGTGGTTCTAAAAGGTCTTCAGCCAGGTCTTCAATATCCTTGGATGCCATTCGTCCGGCCTGAGGATTTAAACTCATTTAAAGTAATAAGGTATTCCTTGACTAATTGTTTATCAATCTGAAGGTCCTTATCTCCATCCTTTGTACTTCATTTTTGCCTGGTGGTCATAGACGGTCTTGGGTAAAGACTGAGCTAAAGTAGGAATCAAGTACTTCTGCCTTTTCTTTGTCATCTGTTATCATTTTTCCATCCCCATTGAATAGCCAAGCCACTGTTTTTTCTGTCTTTTGCTATGCACATACCTGAAGAATGCTTTGTTGTTGTTGCTTGCTCTTGCTAACCTTGGCTCATTCTCAGCTTTTGCCTTCCTAACGCCATCCCTGCAGTACTTTGCTACTCTCATCAGTCGAAAGACACAAAACAGTACCAAGCGGCTCCCACCCCCTTGGTGAGGAGGGTGTTGACCCCATACAGCCCTGTCCTCTCAGCCAGGCTGCAGGAACCAAAGGCAGGGGCCGCTTGTGTGGGGTAGCCTGCTTCCCTCCTCCCTCTCAGACCTTTGGTACTGAAGAGAATAAGAAGGGGTTGGGACCAGTGAAGTTCCTGACATTGCAACAGCCATCTCAGTCTACTGGCCCCATGTCTCCCCATTTCCGATTGTGAAACACCTCTAAACCCACCTGGTAATCCACTTTCTGCCGCCCCTTCAAGAATCCCAACACAAGACTCACTAGCTTCGCTTTGAGCTAGAGTGACCCAGGTGTTCTTGGACTACAACTTCAAGAAACTCTACCCAGCATAGCTGGTGGTGAAGCCTTCTGGGAATTGCAGTCCAAGAACACCTGGGTTATCCAAGATTGGTAACCACTGCCCTCAGTTAAAGATTGACAGGGCAGCTACAATTCTGACACATAGCCACAGAATGGAAAAGCAGCCCAGCCAGTCCCATCCCACAGTGTTGATCAAATGATTGTGGATGTTTGTCAAGGATATTTGCACATTTTGTCCGAATGCCAATCCATAATGTATGTATGTATGCCACCTCCCTCTGCTTCCCTAAGCCTTTTTCTGTCATCATGCAATTTTTTTTCATGTATCCTCAAATGTCCTGGTTCATACCCCTTCGGGCACACATATCCCAGGATGGGAACCAGTGCTTTTAGAGCTACCAACATTTAAAAACCAGTTAGTACATTGATCAGTGACATGTTATTTTTGTTTTTAGGACTTGTGAACTTATCTTTGATGACCAGCCTACTGATCAGTAAGTTTATTTCTTAATAAAAGAACAAAAACGGGTAAGAAGTGTGTGTAAGTTCACAGCAGCATGGCAAGAGGAAAAGCAGATATGTTTTATGTTCCTTGCAGCAAACTTACATATTGTTTTAAAACAAGGCATGAAAAGCGTTTTTCCCCAGGCAAGGGAAAACTTTGGCTTATGTCAGTGCTGTATGAGAGAGTGGTGTAACCACACTCTGCTTTAGGGGCTGGTCATGCCTACTGCTGACATGAACCTTATGGGAGGCAGTTTGACTCCTGTGATTTTAAAAAAAAAGGCTTATACAACAAAAAGCACTTTGGTCTATGATCCTAAACCCATTGGGATTTGTCCTGTAATACAGATGTCCAGATAACTGAAATTAAGGTTTTTGATATGTATTTATTTATATTTATTTATTTATTTTATTTATATCCCGCCTATCTAGTCAGCTCAGGACCACTCTAGGCGGCCTCTAGGTATAGACTTCGCAGTTTCAGGACATAGTAAAGGCAGGTAATGCAGAGCCTTTTGAATTTTGGCGGATGCATTAAGAAGCATAGCTATAGATACAGTGGTGCCTCGCTTAGCGATCGCTCCGTTTTACGGCGGAATCGCTTTGCGATGCTGTTTTTGCGATCGCAAAAGCGATCGCTTTGCGATGGCCCCTATGGGGAAAATTCGCTTTGCGATGATCGCGCAGAAGTGATCATCGCAAAGCCCCCATTTTCGCACAGCTTATCAGCGGTTCCAAAATGGCCGCTGGAAAAACAAAATGGCGACCGCTGTTTTGCCTCGCTTTAGAGGCACCCAAAATGGCCACCGCAATGGAGGATCTTCGCATAAGGTTAGTTTTTAAGCCCATAGGAACGCATTAAACACATTTTAATGCGTTTCTATGGGCTTTTAAAAATCGCTTAGCGACAAAATCCCTTAGCGACGTTTTTCCTGGAATGGATTAACGTCGCTAAGCGAGGCACCACTGTAAATGCGTGTGGCACAAGACCAGATAGTTTGTTACAGGAACTGCAAGATTTTCCTCCAGAACACAGAGTTCTAACTCCTGTCCTCTGAAGATGCTGGCCACAGAGACTGGTGAAACGTTAGGAAGAAAAAACCCCAGAGCATGGCCAAACAGCCCGAAAAACCTACAACAACCATCAGATCCTGGCTGTGAAAACCTTCAAGAATACATATTCCTTCTAGCTTAGATTGATCTGCATTGATTACTGATCTGACTCCTAATTCATTCATGTTGCTTTCTCCTTTGGGGGACAGGTTTACGTTTCATCTATACAAAGTACTTAAAAGCACAGCAATAATTTTATCTTCATTTAGGCAATCAGTAATATTTATTTTATCTATTTATTGAATTTGTACCTGGACCATCTGGCAACCAGGCCACTCTGGGTAGCTAACAACAGTATAAACAGCAATATTAAAACATGATAAAAATAACTAAATTAATACAAACCAAATAGGGTAAATTAAAAAAGACTGCAATAAAGGTGGTAAAAAGTGATGGAGAGGATGACAAAAAGGATGGTAAAAGGGATGCCAAGATTTTAATGCTCTAGGAAAGCCTGATGGAAGAGCTACATCTTCAATGCTCGTTTTAAACCCATCTAGAGAGGGTGCTAGGCGGATCTCAATGGGCAGGTTGTTCCATAGGTGGGGGGGGGGCGACCACCGAAAAGGCCCAGTTTCTTTTTCTTTCCCTCTGGGCCTCCTTTGGGGTCAAGGTCCTCAACCGCCCTGCCTGTGAGGAATAGGTATTATGGACATTCCTCACAGGGAGCTGGCATTCTGATATATAACTACATTTTCATATTAAAACTTACTGCCATAGAAGAAATTGAACCACTAGTATTATCTTTGTCAGGATATGTTTACAATGGTTTTAAAGGAGCAAATGCCGAAATTTTACTATTGCATTTTAATTTTCCATTTGTAGAACATGTGTGGACCTAACACCCCCATTAGTTCTAAAGCTATGCTGGACCATGTTTCTTTTGGCAAAAGGTTAGTAGTAAAGGGTGGTATGCTTAAGTTGTAGCCACTTCATTCAAAACAATATTCATAGGCTGCATCATTTGTGTGTTTTCAATTTCAAATACCTCAGATATTAAATACACCCTGGAACTAGAATCTTTATTAATATCTTGGAATCAGAGGGGATATTCACCTGTTATTTCTTATTAAGGAAAAAGAGTGAGTGGTAGTTACTAACCACTTAGCCACCTTACCCTGATTGTCTTGGTGTGGGTGAAATACAGGAAGGCCAAATGTTCTGATAGCTTGGGGAATCTTCCTGTCCAGCACACTTCCCAAAACCATAGCCTCAATTTGATTAAGCAGTCCTTCCAGGGAGTCAGCAAAAATCCTCAAGGTTAAGCAGTTTGATTCTTGACACCAACCCTGCAAAGTAGGAATACCAACATAATACACAGGCTTCTGGTAAGTAGTCAAAGCAAGACCTGGTTTAAAGTACCACAAACGCTCTTAATCTAAGAGAATGAGCAACTGTGAAAATTTTATATTTTATTAAAGGTGGTAAAAGTCAAAAAGAGCAAAACTGCAGAAATGGTTTCTACAGTCACAGAAACAGGAGAAAAAAAGCAATTGAAAGGTCAAAGCAAGAACAATTACAGCGCAAACCCACAAGAAAACTAGCTGACCTGTTTTAATATTTAAGCCCTAGCACACTCTCAGAGTATAAATAAAATTTGTGTCTAATAGTAGGGTAGCAAATGAGCATGGCATTCTCCTAAGAAATAACTAAGCCGAATCAAGTAATTTCTATCACCATTTTAATACCCAAATTTCCAAGTTCCAGAAGATCTGCCAATCAGGAGTCAAGTTCCCCCAGACTTTCACAAAGAGAATAATTCCCTCTCTCCTCACTCAGATGAAGCCAGCTAATTCGTTCAGTACCAAGGAGTGAGCTCAGCTCCTAAAACTCTTTTTCATTGTGATAAGCCATATGTTTCTGCCTTCCAAATACCTGTGGGCATTATCCCCCTTCTCTCTGTCAGCTGGTCTCAGGCACTGATTACAAAGCAAGATTTTTCAGAAGAGCATTAGAGTCCATGATCCCTCATTTTCCAAATCTCTTGACATACTGTAAGGATTTCTGCAGCAATTTAGCAGAAAGAAAGAAGAAAATATTACATATTTGTACAACTGAAATGTTTTGAATAATAATATTTCTTTATTTCTGAGAAACTCTGTTTTCCCTTGGTTATACCTCACACTTGCTAAGCTAAAACATTTGTTTCCAAGATAAATCTAATGATGTTTATATACCCAGAGGGAGCAATTTAAGTGGAATGGATGAGAGCTTAGTGTGAGTATAGCCCAAAAACCAATGAGTGCTGTGCCATGAATGCTACACAGTGAATGCTACTGGCGATAGTGTAAGCAGCTTTCTTCATTTTGTGAGGGGATATGTTGCATAGACAGTCACACAGCCAATGCATAAGTGTGCATGTGAGGGGCACTTAACAAAATGGAGAAAACACTGCTTGCATGATTGCCATTTTCTACATGGTAAATCCAATAGTGTACCGCCCCTGTTGGTTACAAGGTGAGAATGTTTGAACATATAGCATAACAAGTAGCATTTTACTTCAAAGTCTCATTGATTATACAATTTACTGACTACTAAACATTTGTAATACTGCAATCTTCATTCTGTAAAAGGTTAAACCTGTGAAGAATGATTGATTTGCTTTCAATGTAATTTGCCAAGAAGTCTTAAGATATTAAATGTTTTTTAGCAAAACTTTCTTAAAGAATGAAATATAAATGTCTTCCCTATTATATGAAGAGTTATTCAGCCAAAAAAATAATTTCTTATTTAATGCTTTCAGGAAAAATTCTGCAGATGGAAGACGATTTGGTTATCTCCTTCCAGTTGCTATTATGTGTTCTTGACTATTTTATCATACAGTTGCCTCCTCCAGTACTTAAGGAACCATACAGTAAGGATCTAACATTTTAAAAAATAATGTGATTGTGTAGAAAAGTTGTGTAGATTCATCATAGTATAATTAAACATTTCTTATTCCTCCCCAATTCTGCAAAGTTCCAAAGCTCTTTCTACCTGGGGAAGACTTTGGAGGCCTTGATTCGGAGTTGGGCGGGAGGTCTTTAATGTCTAAAAATTGCTGATGCCATTCAGGTTCATTTCGCTGAGAGAGTTTGAGCCAATAAATCTAACTGTACTCTAGATAAGTTTGTATTTTCTGTCCTGCATTTCTCAAAGTGTATTTATTTATTTATTTATTTATTTATTTATTTATTTATTCATTCATTCATTCATTCATTCATTCATTCATTC